TTTGAAGTAAGATGTAATGAGAACATTAGGGAAAAATGCAGTGCCAATCATTAGGCGAAGATGAAATACAAAAAGTTGGTTGCAAATACCATTTCAACGGTTAGATTGTTCTGTTCCAGAACCTGCAAGAATTTACTAGTCTTGCCATTTTTTCCGATATCATTATATTTTTTCAATTCTGGAACAGACCAAATAATTCAATGCTTGCAAAAAGTAGCCGTAAAGAAGGTAAAGTTCATTTCAAACAAGCATTTCAAACTCTGCATTTATCTTGTCCAATTCCATTGCATAGGAAGTTGGTTCCCATCTCTAACGAATTCATAAATATATACATTTTGACATTTAAATATTTTCAAATGTATAAATACGAAAAAAAAATCCAACAATGGCCTTCCTAGTCCTCCTCTTTGGAAATTTCTTATAGGAATTGAGCAGTGCCATGGAAACGTAGTGTTAACATCGATTGTTTAATATCAGTTTATCAAAATCGTTTATCGGCAACTATCGAAATCTGTAATTTGTTATCGAAAACAATGTACCATCGCTGAGGAAATTTTCCATGTCACAATTCTTGTTGAATCGTGTTGAGAACTTTTCTTTGTCCTCGTTCAAATTAAAAAACCACAAAAACTGATTCTAATTGCAGAAGCATCCGGGTAAGTGTTATTCCAATCAATTGTGCAACAAAAACAATACAAAATGGTAAAGAAACGGATAGATTTTATTAAAAAAGTGAGGCTAAATAAGGGCAAATTAATCAAAATCCAGAGTGGTGGTGGTGTGGTGAGTTCGAGACAGCATGCGCATTCATTAAATTTCGTGCACGGCCAATCAAACGTCAGCGTTATCGGTTATCATGAATGAATGAATTGGTTGGTTGGTGATTGCTGCTGATCTGAAATTGCGTAGTTTTTCATTTACGCAGTTTTAGTAAATTTGGAAAATATGAATTGAGATGTCGAGTGTTTAAATGGATGATATCTTATTTCCAGAAAATTCCAATTGGAGAAATTTCAGGAATTTTCATGGGTTGAGGTAATTTCATACATATATTTTCACATTTCACCATTGTGTGTGGAGTAAGTATTTACGTCATTTATTCACCATTCCCCGTTCAGTGTTGCTAATTTTAGTAGTGAGTACATAGAGAGAAATTTTGTAACAACAACAAAGTGTAAATAATAGAAATTTTTTATTATTTTGAAAGCAGTGGTGTAATATTTCAAGGCTACTTAGGGAAAAATCTATGCTTTAAAAAATATACATTTAAATAAGGCATTTGCATTCATTAAAAGTTTTTGTTATACTACCAATTATACCCAAGATAATAGTTCCCGATAATCAAGTTTTCGCAACATTGTGAAATTATTCGGAACCTACATTTAAAAATGTCATTTAAGATTATGCCACAGTTTTGAAATGTCATTTGAAGACCTATCCTTTCCAAGACGCCATTGAAGGAATACCGGGAATTGTAACTTTCTCGAAGAAGTGTCAACCTGCATAAAATATTTATATCCAATAACGCCTCTAGAACATATGGGATTTAAAAGTATTCGTGGAGAATACTGAGAAATGATTAAGAAAACATAAAGGTCGATTTAGGACAAATGACATTTTAAAGTTCACTTTAATTTTTTAATATTTGGTCTGTTCCAGAACTGCAAGAATGTAAAAGTTTTTACTACGATAGCAGATTTTCCCTTTATGATATCGAAAAAATGCAAAACTAGTAGACTCTTGCAGGTTCTGGAAGAGCCCAATTGTTTTGTAGTACTATTTTTTATACTTTTGTTTTAATTTGTACATTAACCTAGCCCATAGGGCCATGGACGGTTCCAAAAAACTTCAATACATGACTACTAATTATTATATTATTTCATTTATCAATTCGATATAAAGTTCAAGTAACTTCATATCAAATAAATAAAAATAAGAAGTTATTCTACCACTAGAACATATGGAATATATATCGTATATATCGTAGTATCGTTGTATATGAACCAAGGATTTTACCAAAGCTGGCATTCCATTTGCCGGATGATATGAAGCCTACGTAGGTAAATATTTTAACTACATCTTCATACAAAATTTAAATGTTCTTTTTGAATTTATATTTATAGACAGATTGCTATAGAACTGATGTATTTATCATCTACTCTCCCTTGGATCTATTTTTAATGGACATTTTATATTTACAATAATATATCGGAATTGAAAGTAAACAGCCATATTTGACTGGAAAGGAATAGATTTAATTGTGTGGATAATCATGAGGTCTTGAGAGGAAACATTGTCCCAGTACCGAAGCCAGTTAAATCCCCTGTAAATACACGCAAAATTATCACTTCTTTACGAACAAACTTAGGATAGTGAAAAATAGGTCCGTTTTAGAAAAACGTACCTCTTATTACCAAAAAATATTGGGTTTTATATAAGATACTCGAGTTGCTTTTGTTGTTGCTTTAAAAAGTGAACTCCCATAATCGACCCTTGTCACAAGTAGCATTTCCTATCCTTAATGCGACTAACTACTGCAATAAATGAAAATATTCGTCCGTCTATATCTTTTGGCATATGTACTTTGATATTTTTTTCTATCAATAAAGATTACATATTTTGTTCTCTACTTCTGTATACAATAACGAGGGTTCAAATGTTAATTAGAAAACCCACCTAGTTATAATGGCATCAATAAGTTTTTTTTACATCCATCCAATTTTCTATCAATAAATTCAATTGATGCTGCTGTGTATTGTATTGTTTCTCTGCGTATGTTACAGCTGTATTCTTACTTCCTTCTTATATCTACCTCAGCTGCTGCCGCAGGTCAAGCAACCAACCAGCTGTTCTTCTGTATATTATCATTATTACATACAGTTATGTGTTTATTGTTCCAATTTTGTCTTTTCATTTCAAGTCCTCTTTCTTATGATGTTCGTTCTTTAATATTCTTACGTATTATATTCGCTTATATTGACTTTAGTTATTGTTTAGCATTGTTGTTGTCTTGTATGAGGTATGTGTTTGTGTGTTGTTTTCAAGATTTCTTGATTATCGCCTTGCATTTTGGATGTGCAAAATAAAATACATTAATTTTGCCAGAGGTTTATGTACGAACGTTGTACGCTGGCTATTACGTGAAGGTCAATGTTAAATGATCTATAGCGTCTGTGGATATTTTTGCTAAATTAAATAATTTAGTTTAAGTTTGCTGCAATGCATCTTTTATGTGCATATCATAGAAGTGGTATCATTATTCTCTCGTCAAAAGTTGATATATTTATAAATTTTTTTATTCCTCTTTCTCGTTTGTTTTTAAGTAAACAAATTTAAAAATTCTCGAAATTATTGATATGTTGTTGATAATACTGGCTGAGGTAATAATGCTTAGATAATGTTTATATATTGTGTTATTTTCTTAGATAATATCTCTTCAAAAGATTTCCTTTTCAAACTTGAACTTGGCAATAAGTTTTTGGCCATCAACGATTTTTCTTTTTTTATAAGGTAGTCAAGGTTATTTTCTGCGAAATGCTTACCAAACGATTGTTGCTATTTTTAGCAGAATTTTTTCTCCCCAGACTTATTTGAGGGAAAAGAAAGCTATGTGTCATTACTATTTAAACTAGAAAGCAAAATAAAAATGTGTAGGTACCTTCCGTTGCTCTTTGGCAGTACATTCACATCAAAAAGTTTGGCAAAATGGTTATGTTTTTTATTTTTAAGCATAGGCTATGTTTACATTAATATTTTTTAATATTTTAAAATATGGGCAAACAAATTGAAAACTTTTAAATGATTAATGCTGTCTATGTAAAATTGTTTATATACCCTAGGCTACGAAATAAAATACCATGTTTTAATTTATTGATGAATACTATCGTATGCATATAAAAGATAAGATCTCTCAGCTTTCAGACTTCTGGTTTATTGATATTACTCTGGATATTTCCCTAGAGATAGTACCTATATTAGAAAGACAAAGAAGATCTAAGTAGTTGTAGAGAGCAAGAAAATATCCTTTCATATATCTATTTGAACACTTTTCTAGCAGACTTTAGCGAATACATTTTCTCAAAAAGAGCTTACTATGGATCCTTTTATTTGTGTAATATTTTTCTAATGCATAGGTATTGACGATATATTTGGGGAAACATAAACATGATGGTTCAGTTCCATGTGTGACCTACATTATATAACAATGTCTGACATAGGGTTTAATCCACTCACAACCCGAAACAAATAGTTAATTTTAATAAAACATAAATAGATTTTAAGTGGAGATACCTCAAAACATCTCCATGGCAATATAAAAGCAATGATTGTTGGACCGACACCTGTGCCCTGATATTTTTACAAGTAGATTTTCTGTGCCACTGGAGTTCAAACCACCAAGTTTTATGAACATTTAACTATTTATACAAATTGCAAACAAAATGGCAGTTAGTTATGCTTCTAAAAAAATCACTAATCCAAGCTTTATATTTTGACACTTATAGTAAGTTTACATTCGAGCTTTTTTGTCAAGTTTACTAAGCCCGGTAATTTGCAAACGTAACTACTATTAAGTTATCTATCATAATTATAAAATTTTTAAAATTCCAACAATATTAACATGGCTTAAGGTTAAGTAGTGGAGTTTTGAAGGGCAAGCCGCCCTACTCATACGCGTTCTATATCAATTCAAGGATTTTTGCATAGAATTGAACAGTGGGTACCCCTATTGGAAACTGTTCAACTAAACCAGAAAGTGACACACACACACCCATACTTAACTTAATAACAACAAAATAGATACAATTCGAAGAAACGAAATGATAGGTGAAACAAATGTTTACAACAGCGAGTAATGGAAGCCATATTGCCATATGTTTTGTTTTCATTTCGTTTCGTGTCGTATGTTGACAGATGATTGAAAATTTTCACTTTTCAACTGAGCTCAGCTGCTGCTGCTCTACTGCTGGTTGTGTTGTTGATTACACTTCATTGGTCACATACAACATACACACAGCTGCTTCGTTTGTGTTCCGTGTATCATTGCGTTCCTTCATGGTCAAATAATCAGTTGAAGAAGACGACAAACTCGTACACACACACACATACACACTGAATTCAAATTGTATACGAACGAACGGGTCTGGTATATGAAACATACTCTCGAAGCAACTCTGGAATACAGTTTAGTTTCTGTTTAACAACAACTGAGAAAGCAACCAACCTAGAGAAGCAAAAAATAATAGTCTTGGAAATAAAAATACAAGATCAAGAAGAAGCAAAAGGAAAAAAATAAAGCAAATAAATAACAATTTAAAACAAAAAACCAAACTAAATTCAACACAACAACAAAGTGTCAACAAAGTCTTTTAATGTCTAAACACTGAGCAATTAATGTGTAAATGTCATCGTCGTCGTCGTATGTCGTCGTTTAACAAACCCCGAAAAACAAACAGTCTACAAATGTTACTTTAAATCCAACCCGCAGAAAAATCGATTTCATTCGCCCACGGAAAACAAAAAACCAGAAATCATGAATTGTTGAAACAAATTTTTTATACAAAAAATTTTGTTTCACAGTGCCCGAGAAGAATAACTGAAACTGCTGCAAAAGAAAAACAATAATCGTCATTTTATCATCATCATCGGTATAAAAGTTGCATTTTTTTGCGTAACATTTGTGATAATTACAAATTAATTTATTAATTTGTTTAATTTAAATTAAAAGAAATATTTAAAAATAAGTTTTTTACACAAAAAACAAAACCAAACTGAGTACAAATTAGTTAAAGAAAAACTCTACTAGTAGACTCATAAGACAATACTTTTTGTACTGTAACACTCACATATACACATAAAGACCAACAACAAATACACACAGAAGAAAAAAAGAACTCTCATCTTGTCAATGGCACAGATTTGATATGAACCCCCCAAAGTCTTTCTCAATCATCGTAACAATAAAAGTGCAATAATCTAAAATCAGAAAACATCTCGATTCCCTGCGTTTATCAAAAATGGCTGTCAAAATGTAAGATATATACACTATTTATATAGTACCTATATATAATGAAGAAGAAAAAAAGTTTTCGTCAAAGTCCGTTTTCAAGAAAAGTTTAAATATAAAATTTTAAACAAAGGCTTTTTTGTATGTGTGTTTGTATTGAAATTAATGTAGGTGTGAAGAATACGAGTGTATGTGTGTGTGAAAGATACTTGTTTGTCTTTCTCAGACTGTTCCCCCTGAATTTTGTAATTATACATTTTCACTAAAAGCTCTGAAAAAGTTTTTGAAAATATCTTAATTAGAATCATATATTCATTACAACGAATTATTTTGTTTTTACACAGTTTGTCTAACTTTGGCAAGGACTTCAATTCCTGGCCTTCATCTAATGTTGCCATGTAAAAAGTTGTCACTCTCTGACATTCTAAATCGGGTGATTTGCGTATGGTGATGCCAATTTTGTGATTTTTATTTTGCAAAAAGCAAAGTGTCTTCTATTTGTTTAATAGATTTAGCTGATAATTCAAAGTAAAGAACTGAATTCTTAAGAAAAACAGAATTAACTATAAAAATTTGTTTATAATACAATTTGCTAATTATGTTGCCAAAAAAAATTAGGCGACTTTCAAGCCTCTTTGTTATTATGGGAAACCAGACAGTTGGCAACACTCTTACTGCTTGACAATTATCTGTATGGCTTTGTTTATGTTTCATTTCTAGAATGTTGCGTTTCAATTCAACTTGTTTCAGGTATAGCAAATTTTTTTGTATGTTAACCGAATTATTTCACATAAACAACAATAGAGAAATTTGTTGTTGGTTTATCAAGCGATTATCAACTATTTGATGAAATATTTGTTGTTGCGTTTTTATTTAATGTGTACATACACGAAAAATGTATAGAAGAGAGGAAGAGGAAAAACAAAAACAAACTAAATGTTATAGGCCTAAATAGCAGCAAAGTGGTATTTGTTGATTTCTTTTTTTATTGTTTCTTCAAATACAATCACACACCCGTAGGCCGCCCCATCTCCACCCCTTGTCCATACATTTTTACTTTGTTACTGTATCCAACACAGTGCTCGGTGTATACCAATACCATTACAAATTGTATTTACTCTCCACTGTGATCTTCAATAGCAGCAGCAGCAGAAATCTCCTCCCCGCTCTCTGTCTCTCTTACTTCACAACAAGCAGGTTTTCTAGAATTGCGTCAGCCAATTTTGTGATTTGTATTTTCTATTTATTTTTTCTTATTATAGTAAAAGGTCCATAACAATATTCTGAAGATTAAAAAAATAAGGAAAATGTTTTGTTATAAAATTATTATTTTGCTTAAAACATGAAATACCTAAATACCCATTATGTAATGGCAACATTTTTAAATTTATACTATAATAACGTTTGTGTGTAAAGAGTCGTCGTTATTGATGTAAACATTTCTAGGTCATGGTGTTTAATAGCAATTTATTTCATTGTTAAATGTTTAATATTTAAACATACATAGGTAGCTACTGCTGCATTGCTGTGCATATTAAGTAACCTACTTATAGCTAATTCAAAAAGCTTTAACTAGAATATTTAGGTAACCGACTTACAAAGCTGTGTTTACCACCTCAACCCTGGTCTTTGTTTTCCAACCTTCAAACTTAACCTCGAAAAGACGCAACAGTACCCCAGGTATTTAAATTGTATGCCTCTGAATTACTTCCTCCCACTACCCCTACTACAATAGAATATATATGGTAATTCCAAAATTTCATTGAAACACAATATTTACATATCAAAACCAGCTAGTTAATAAATCAATAGCGACGTAGGTAGGTGCTGGATTAGAATATCTAACCAATATGTGTTTTGTTGTTTTGTATCGTTGTGTGAGTTTGTTGCTCCACTCCATGATAAAAGCAAAAAACGCATTTCTATTTTTTTTCTTGGTATCCAATCGAGTGTTGTAACTTAATGTGTACCTAAATAAATGTTAGTTTTTTTTGTAACCGTTACATCTTCACCACTTGGGTGGGTGTTTTGTTTGTTGTGTTGTATTCATATGTAACCATAATTCATAACCTTCCAGCCAACAATGGCGGTGTGTGGTGTGCACCTTTAAATTTTACCCATTGGCGGCTGAGGAAACATTTGTTTGTTTCGGAGTTTGTGTTTTGTTTTGATAATATTTTTCGCTACCTACATATGTTGGATCTACAACTGATTTATGTTGTTTTGATGTTGCTGTATTTGGCGGCATGTAGTTGGTCTTCTGACGAAGAAAAGGCGCGCATTTTCTAATTAATGGCTTTTTCCCCGTATCTTCCTAAATATTTGTTTTTCAAATCTATTTTGTTTGTTGTGTTTTCTCTCGAGTTTCTTTTTCACACTTCTTCTTGCTGTACAAATCTTCGTTTTTTTATTCTCAAGACAATGATCAATTGTTTTAATAGTTGTGGGAAATCAAATCCATTCATTTTCTTCTATTGACTTTACATTGTTTTCTTTGTGTATTCTTCTGCTTTTGTGGCTACTAGGTATACACATTCCAGACGCGGACTGGTACATTGTATTTAATTTCTTTTCAGAAATTACTTCTTTTTATTCCCTTAGGAAAATCTTGCAAGAAAGAAGAATAGAGAAACTTGAAAAAAAAAAATGATGCAACTTTGTGAAATTTTATGAAGTTTCTTTTGGTGTGTACTGCAAGAGAGCGCATCGAGTGCCTCATAAAGAGATTGTCAGTTTCTTGACATGTTTATAATAAATTTAGTCTGACGTAAGAGCAATGTATTGAACGTAAGTGTTGTAATGATGTCTTGGTAACCATTAAGGCTATAGAGGGGTTTAAATAAAAAAAATTGCCGAGATGAAATAATAAAAATAAAGTGGAATGCGGTAAAAGCAAAACAAAAAAATATTTTCTAACACCAGCTAAGGAAAAATACCATTAGGATTCTGTAAACAACCCCCAATAAATAGGTAAAGCTATAGAGGGAGGGATATTACCATCAACACCTTGTCTGTTTTTGGCTTGTGCGCTTATGTGAGACTTCATTATTTTGTAAAAAAATATTTTTAAATCCACCCCATTTATTGCAATAACGACAACAGCAGCGATCCATAACAAAAAATGGTTACGTTATAATGTCATTTGCTTGCTGCTCGGGGAAACAAAAAACCCTCGCCATAATAGGGTTTATTTAAGCAACGTTCTCTATTTAACGAACACTAAGTCGATTTATCCATTCCACAACCACCCCATGTTATGTGGCGTTATATGATAAGCTTACCCTCAATGTTCGTCAAATATATTTAAATCAATGTAAGCTGTCTGTGTTTCATATATTTGTTTTATTGTTTTAGAAGGTAACTAGTTTTGACACATGCAAGCTTTAAAAAAGCAAGCTACAGTACTTGAGTTTCATTTTATTCAAATGTACACAAATCCAAGGAGAGAAACTCTGATTTCGCAGCCATTAAAAAATAGAAATTTTTCACATAAAAACCCAACACCTGGCTTAAACAAAAGAATATATGGTGGTGTCATATATTATGGTTGACAACAACAGCTGTTACTTGTATTATACAATCTCATGACTCTGGACGACAATGCAGGCACCTACGTGCTTTTTTTAAGGGCCATAATAAAGCTTTTCGAAACAAAAAAAAAAGTAATTTAAAACTTGTTTCTAAATGGTTAGATTTTAAAATATTGAGTTTCAACCCATTAACAACAACAGCAACAAAAAATGCTTACTGATTAAATTTTCGATAGGTATTTCTTTGTTCTTTGTCCAGTTGGTGGTATCAGTTCAATGTCCAAAAATAACAGCTGATTGAAATTCACTCTAATTACATCCATAACTAACCACCTGATATGGTTGGTGTGTGCGTTTGTATTTGAGGACCTATCTATCTATTTCAATTAGTTTAACAAACAAAATGCATTGCCTTTGCAAATTTTGTTTTCGTCATTCTTTTTGTGAGTAATTAATACTCATTTTGTTGATAAGAAGGCAAATAATGATTACAGTTTAAAAAATAGTGCACTTTCTTTTCCTTTGTTCTCTTTCTGAACATAATAAATGAAGGAAAAGTCAATGAACTGACAGTTTGTGATGATTAAATAACCAAAGTCTAAAATTAGTTGTAGATTACCGTTTGCATGTCGCCTTGCCTGACTGTCTTGAGACGACATTTGACCCTAATAATATTGTTTGTCAAGTACTTGTCGCCCTGCTTTTTAATGTTGTGTGGCTTGGTAGGAGGGTGGGTTTACGCTTGACGCCTGGCCTGCCTGATGTGACTTGACACCTTTTAAGAGCAAATCCAAAAATCCATCCATCCACCTAACATCGTCTCAGCAGCAGCTGTCTAGACAAACAACCTAGCTAGCTCAGCTGTCTACATTGTTTCGTTTCTTGACTTTAATTTATCTGCCTTGGGTTTTATTTTTATCTCATTATTTGTCACCATGAGATTCTAAATGACATTTGGCATGCGCCAGTTTGTCTTTCTCTCTTTTTATTTCCTTCTGTTGGCTTGCATTGCTCATATTGCAGGATGGCAAGTATTTCCTTTGAAATTTATTTTGGTTTCCTCTGAAGATTCTTTTGAGGGTTGTTTGTTACTTCACCCCTAACTTCGGTGGTGGTGGGTTACAAAATGCATCTTAAACTCTCCTTGCTGTGTGCTGCAGCAATATGTCTTAAAGACACCCTCCTTTACATTTATGTAATTATTTTTGTTTTATTGTTTTTTTGGGTAGACAATGTAAACAATCCTGCCAGCCAGCCAGCCAGACATTGTTTTATTTTTGGGGCATTATAGTGCTATTTCAGTTCCCTCTTTTTATACCCTCCACCTTGGAAAGGAGGGTATATTAACTTTGTCATTCCGTTTGTAACATCCTTAAATATTCGTCGTAGACCCCATAAAGTATATATATTCATAATCAGCATAAAATTCTAAGTCGATTTAACGATGTCCGTCTGTCTGTCTGTCCGTCTGTCTGTCTGTCTGTCTGTCTGTCC